TATCTGTGTTTGAAGCAATCCATTATCTTAAAAGAACTGCAGGGATTTTTTTGTTGTTCTGAAGCTTTATCTCAGGGTCTGAGCACTGTCCCTGAGCTATTTTGCTCAAGGTTATCGATTTACCACTTGAGCCACAGTACACTTCCATTTTTTCAGGTGGGTAATTGAAGAGAATATTCTCAGGGATTTTCCTGCCTTACTGACTTTGAACTATGATCCTCAGATCTCAGCCTCCTGATTCGCTCAGTCTTGACTCACTACCACTGGGCAGACTGCAGTTTTATTGGGACAAATACTTCACTTTATCTGAATAAAGGACTGTACTGTGGTGCAAACAGAACTTTGTAGTTGTACATAGAATACACTAGGAATGATGTGAACACAGCCCTTCATTTGAATAAATCTGTTGTGATTGGTGCAAATATACTTCTTTATTTGTATGACCATTTCCTATGGTTGGTGTATTCTACCCACCCCTTTTCTGACTATAAGGAGGCTGTTTTACTCTTCTTTCAAGTGAGTTGGAAGACACTCTGATGTGTTTGCCCCTAGTGTTTCTTCCTTATCGCCATACATAATTACAATATTCAATATTAAACCTTAATTTTCATTAGTCCTTTAGGGAATAATGTGGATTACGTAGAGGTGAGGAATTTGTCGGTAACAAAAGGGAGAGCATTCTCAAGCATATGTGAGATTTAAATAGTTTTGAAAAGGTGGGGATGTGGTGGGGGGGGTCCTACTGAGTGGTTTGGGATACTTTATTTACCAGACACTATGTTGGAATTGAATTTTACAACTGGGGGGGGTAGGGAAGTGGGGAGAGAATGGGTGAAACAAGGAAGGGGATAACACTGTTTAAAAAGAAATGTACTCCCCTAGTGTGAGTAGCTCATGCCTGTAATCCTAGCTACTCAGGAGGCTGAAATCTGAGGATCTAGGTTCAAAGCCAGCCCAGGCAGGAAAGTCCATGAGACTCATCTCCAATTAACCACCAGAAAACTGGAAGTGGCCCTGTGACTCAAAGTGGTAGAGCACTAGCCTTGAGCAAAAGAGCACAGGCCCTGAGTTCAAGCCCCAAGACCAACCAAAAAGAAAAAGAAGAAAGACGTGTACTCATGACCTTACCTATGTAACTGTAACCTCTCTGGACATCACCTTTATAATAAAAATAAAATTTAATCTTATTTCTGAAATTTCATAGGCACTAGCCATCCTGTTCATGTAAGCTCTTGACTATAAAGTTTGGCTCTAGGTCCAAACATTTGCTCCCTTTTTGCTCCTGAGCCCCCTCTGTTTTCCAGCCCTCCCTCTTTAGTTCCTGGTATTCCCTCTGTGCTCCTATGCTCCCTCTGGGGCTCCAGGGTTTCCGGTCGCCTCCTTCTTAGTCTCTGGGGTGCCCTCTTCCATTGCCGGGTTCCCCCTTTGGCTCTCGGGCTCCCACTTTGTTCCCCTGCCGCCTCTTCGCTCCCCAGCGCTCCCTCTTCAGCTCCCAACCTCCCTGTTAGGCTCCCTGGTTCCCTCTTTGGCTTCCGGGCTCCCTCTTCCGCTCCTGTGCTCTTTGCTTTTGAGCTACTGTTTAGGTTCCCTCTTAGCTCCCTGGCTCTCTCTTTCTTCCCACACTATGCAACTCCCTCTTTGCTTCCTGGCTCCCTCTGCTTCCTGGCTCCCTCTTTAGCTCACGCAATCCAGCTTTGCTTCCAGGTCCCTTCTTCATTCTCCGGCTCCCTTGCTCTCTCTTCAGCTCAGGGCTCTCGTGCTCAATCGCTTTCTTGAGCAAGGGGTGGGGGGAGTAGAGTGGTTGGGTCTGCACTTAAGGGGACAGAGGTCAAGGTGCTTGGTCCCATGAGGAAACCCCCTAATGCCCAACCCCGTGGAGAAGGCTCAGAAGAATCAACGCCCAGGAATGATTGATTATGAAATACTTAGGTGTGTGGTACCCGGAGAAACCCAGGGTGGCAAGTGTACTTGAAATGTCAGTCCCAATACAACTTTTATGAAATTGAAGTACTATATTTGCACCAATCACAAGATAATCCTTTATGAAGATAAAGAACTAATGGCATTACAGTATGTTTACACCATTCTCAATAGTCTTTTATGCAAATGAAGGATTATATTTGCACCAATCACAATATAGTCCTTTGTGAAAAAGAAGGGCTGGGGCACAGTGTAGTCCTTTATACAAATGAAGGTCTGTGATTGCATCAATTATAGACCTTCCACTGGACCACCAGGTAAAGTTGTCTGTCTCTAGTCTGGATGAAAATGCCTGCTAGATGGAGTTCACTAAGGCTTATGGTGGCAAAAAGAGTCCACAGCAAGCTGTTTCAGACAGTTGCAAATGAAATAGTTCCTCTTAGAGCCAGAGTTATTCTTTGACAGTAAGCAGCTGTGGTTTTACTATGTAACTTCCTCAAGATGTCTGCAGAATATTGAAAGCAGCTGGGCTTACATAAGGGCAATTCACACATCTGCCAAAGAGAACTGCTTGGCTGTCAGTTCTCCACTCAGTATAGCTGGTCTATGCTGGGAAGGGTCTAACAACTGTCAGGGAGTCAAATTTCCTTGTACCTCTAACATCTTTGCTTATTTACAGGAAGAGTAAGCCTATCATTAATGTTAACAGTGCTTTAACAGTATCTAATAGCGCTGGAATACGTTTAGCTCCAGCTTCACTGCACCAGGAAGAGGTAGTTCCACTAAGCTGTCTCATGCCTAGCCAATTATCCTGACATATTTATAAAAATTACTTCTTTTTTACTGCAAGGACATGAATATTTTCCTCTGCATATGAAACAAATAATTCATTTGAATTGTTCATAAGACACTTACAAGGCATTAATGATGAAATTGTGAAGAATTTTAACTCTTCAATTTTCCTTAGTAACTGTTTAGTTACGAGAGAATAATACAATATTATTTCCAGTTACAGCCATGGAAGTTTCACTCTTTTGATCTGATAAAATTCTGTTCACTTTCTTTAGAGGGGGCTTTTTGAGATAAGGTCTCCCCAGATAGCCCAGGGTACATAGGCCTACATGGCTTCTACTCAGTATCTTTCTGCCTGAAACTCTTGAGTATTGTAATTACAGGCATGCACCACTACATCCACCTTGCTTCACTTTAAGGTCTACATGCATGGCCATATTTTATATTTCTTTTTTTGGGGGGGTCCGGTCATGGGGCCTGAACTCTGGGCCTGGGCACTGTCCCTCAGCTCTTCAGCTCAAGGCTAGCGCTCTACCACTTGAGCCATAGTGCCACTTCCTGCTTTTTTTTCTGCTTATGTGGTGCTGAGGAATCGAACCCAGGGCCTCATGCATGCAAGGCAAGTGTTCTACTACTGAGCCACCTACCAAGCCCTATTTTATATTTCATATACATCAGTAGTTTTGTGGGTAACCCATTTTATTTATTTATTTATTCATTCATTCATTTATTTTGGTGGTCGTGGGTCTTGAACTCTGGGCCTGGGTGCTGTCCCTCAGCTCTTCAGCTTAAGGCTAGCACTCTGCCACTTGAGCCACAATGCCACTTCTGGTTTTTGGGTGGCTAATTGGCGATAAGATTGTCACAGGCTTTCCTGCCCAGGCTGGCTTTGAACCACAATCCTCAGATTTCAGCCTTCTGAGTAGCTAGGATTACAGGCATGAGCCACCAGTGCCCAGCAACAAATATACTTTTGATAGACTGAAAGTAGTTTGTCTCTAGAGTAAGAACAACAGATTAGAGTTTTTAGTACTTAGTGGGATTGTCTATAAGAACTTCCTATCTCCAGGCCCAGTCTACAGGGCTGAGGTCATTTGCCAATTTTGCAGAGATCCTCATCCTCCATTTTAAATTTCCTTTGCAGTTCCCTTTCATTCATCGCTAACTGCCACCTATCTCTAATACTATTGTTGGCATGTTTTAGTGAGAGTTGGAAGGTATAAATTACTCAGGTGTGGTGGCTCATGTCTGAATTCTAGCCACTCGGGAGGCTGAAATTGGGAAGATTGTGGTTCAAAACCAACCAACCCAGGCAAAAACTTTACCATGCTATATCTCAACCCAAAATGTTGAGTACAGTGGGACATGTTTGTCATCCCATCTATGTAGCAAAAATACGAGGATTGTGATCCAAGCTCGCCTGGGTCATGGGCAAGACTCTATTTGAAAAGTAATGAAAAGCATCCAGGTACTGGTGGCTCATGCCTGTCATCTTAGCTACTCAGGAGACAGAGATTTAAGGATTGTAGTTTGAAGCCAGCCTGGGCAAAAAAGTCCAAGACACTCTTATCTCCAATCAACCAGCCAAAAGCAAGAAGTAGAAGTGTGGCTTAAGTGGTAGAGTGCCAGACTTGAGCAGAAAATACCAAGCAAGAGTGTGATGGCCCTGAGTTCAAGACACAGTACCAGCCAAAAAATACAATAGTAATAATAAAAGAAAAAGACGTTAAAACCTTCTTATAAAACATGTGGTGCCTGTCTAACAAGTGCAAGTCTTTAGTTCAAACCCCAGTACCACCAAATAAGAGCCATACCAATTATACCAATTATAAATATTATGTATAACCATCAACTGACTCCATAGCCATGGGTCAAAATATACAGTGTCTCTTGTTTTATTCATTGTAAATGTTCATGGGAATTTCTAAGATTATGAAGCTGTATACCCTGTTTTCTTCTAAGAGTTTGATATTTTTACCTAATACATTAATCTGGTTGTCCCATTTTGAGATAATTTTGGTCTGGGGTAAGAGTCCAACTCTTTTTGCAGTTGGACGCCAGCAGTTGGGTCTTACAGCTTCCTGGGTTTTCAAGATGGAGCAGGAGAGATGAGAGAATAGGGCAAGTTAAAAGGCCACAAATATCTGTACCCTGACTATGATTTGCTGGAATAGATGCCCCTATGATTGTGGGGAATTTTGGTTAATTTTTACAGTATGGAAAAAGTTGAATTTTAACACTTTTTGCCAATAGTGTCATTGCTGGTTTCTATTATTTCTGTTTTACAGGTACTGCGGATGGAACCAAGTATATTGTGTGTGCTGTGTAAGCACTCAACCACTGACTACAGTACCAGTCCTTAGCATCACTGGTGGGTTTTTTAAATTGTTGTTTTTGGTTTGTTTGGTTTGGCCTTTGGGGGATTTTGGTTGTTTGAAACAGAATCTTACTATACAGTTCAGGCTGACCTTAAACACATTATCCTCCTGCTTCAGCTTCATAAATACTGGGATTGTAGGCATGTTCCACAACACCTGGCTCATTGCTGCTTATTATAAGTGGGTTAGGGGATGTTATTATTCTACCATTCTGAAAGTCCCTATTCAGAAATTTCTATTCTATTTAATTTGTAATAGATTTCTAGATAAAATAATAGTCTTGCTGTGTGTGGCTGTTTGATAAAAAGCTTCCTAGCAATAGCCAGATTTACAGTAATGAAAAAATTACGTAAAGTGATCATCTCCTTCTCTTCCTCCTCCTCCTCCTCCTCCTCCTCCTTTTCCTCCTCCTCCTCCACCACCACCAACACAACCATCTCCTTCTGTCTCTTGGAACCAGAAAGACTGACTTGGACCTGAGGCTGGCCTGTGTCCATGGTCAAATTAATAGGTGAGTACTGTGGGCCAACAGTGAGTCCATGTTGTTTTTTCTCCTATCAGACAATTCCTGTGTCCTTAAACATCTGCATAAACATTTGAACCCAGTTTCTTTCCCTGAGATAGGAACAGATGCCTCTGGTTACTATTAATTAAGTTAATTGGCCTTACATTTCTTTGGAAAGAATTTAGGAGAGGCCATTGTTAAAGAGGAGAAATGACAAGACTGGGGAAGGCTTCCTGTAGGAGACATGAGTTTTGACCTGGTCCTACAAGGATAAGTAAGAATTAATTACTTGAAGAAAATTGGTGGTGAGTAAATTCAGCACATGACAGGGAGATGTTTTATTAAATAAATCCCAAACCTATCCCTGAGAGAAAGCCAGATAGGGCCATGAGCAAAAAGGAGGAGGAGAGGCGGGGTTTTAACAGTGATCAAGAACTCAAAAACTAAGATCAGAAAACCTAAGTTCTAATTCCAGATCTTCTGTTTATTAGCTTTATGACACTGAGCAAATTAGTGTACTTCTCTGGTCCTATTATATTTATCAGTGGGATGGGAACCCTTTTCTACTTCACAGATGTGGTAAGAAGATTAAACAAGATCATAAATCAACAGGGCAAAGCACAGTCATTGCGTAAAGTAAGTGTTCGCTAAAAGGCAGTCACGTTTGGAATCTATAAGTCCAACTATTAACTCACATACCAAGTACACAAAGCCTGAAAACCAGTGTGTGGTCATCATAGAATATCCCCCCCCCCGCCCCGCCATATTCTCTTTCTCTCTCAGTGTATGTGGGAGGGGAGGTTTGTACTTTGTTTGTGCTGGCCTCAAGTGATACTCTTTCCTGAGCCTCCTGAGTAGCTGGGACTATAGGTACATGCCACTGTGCCCAGCTGCAATCATTTCCTTTTAGAACTTTCAAATTACTACTACTACTACTATTTTGGGGTGTGGGTGTGTGTGTGCTCACGCACGCGCACACACACGCATGCACACGCATGCATGCACACATGTGCTGGTACTTGGTCCTGGGGTTTGAACTTGGCCTGGGAGCTATTAGCTATTTTTTGCTCAAGACTGGTGCTCTACCACTTGAACCACACCTCCACTTCTGATTTTTCAGTGGTTAGTTGGAGATAAGACTCTAAGAAGCTGGGTTCTGGTAGTTCATACTTATAATTCTAGCTACTCAGGAGGCTGAGATGTGAGGATCATGGTTCAAAGCCAGCCTGGGCAGGAAAGTCTGTGAGAATTTTATCTCCAATTAACCACTAGAAAACTGGAAATGGTGCTGTAGCTCAAGTGGTAAAGCACTAGCCTTGAGCTGAAGTGCTCAGGGACAGTGCCCAGGCCCAGATTTCAAGCCCCACAACAGACAAAAAAAAGTCTAATGGCATTTCCTGCCTGGGCTGGCTTTGAACTGCAATCCTTAGATCTTATCCTTCTGAATAGCTAGGATTATAGATGTGAGACACCAGTACCCTAACAATTTTGTTGTTTTATTAATGTATATTAATTATATAAAAGAATGAGTTTCACTATGACATTTTCACAATGCCATAGTGTTGCATTAATGCAACAAAGTCACTCCTGTATCACCCTCTCATGACTCCTTCTCTCCTCCCCTGCCAGGAATCTCCTACTTTCACATTTAAAAAAAATTCTAGCTTTTGCATGTGAGAAAAAAATCATGTGATATGTGTCTGTGTCTTGTTTATATTGCTTAGCATGATAATCTCTAATGCTATCCATTTTCCTGAATATGACACCATTTTATTCTTTCGGGGGACTATTACTGAGATTTGAACTGAGGGCTTTGTGTTTGCTACACAGGTGCTCTACCACTTGAGCCATACCCTCAGACCTAGTTTAGATCTCTTTATAAGTACAACTCCTTGTTTTATGCAGCACATTGTCTTTATGCAGCACATTCATCTGTTCATGGTCAGCAAGGCTTATTTTGTAACTTGACTAGTGTGAGTAGTGCTGTAATATACATGAGTGTGCAGGTGTCTATTTTAGGCTGCCATACATTCTTTTGGACATATACCCAGGAGTGGCATAGCTGAATCATAAGAGTTCTATTTTAGTTCTTTTTTTTTTTCTGGTCCTGGGGCTTGACTTCAGGTCCTGGACACTGTCCCTGAGTTGTTTTGTTGTTGTGTTTTCTAAAGGCTAATGCTCAATTGTTGTTGTTTTCTAAAGGCTATTACTCAATTGCTTGAGCCATGGCTCCACTCTCAGCTTTTTGGTAGGTAATTGGAGGTAAGTGTCTCAATGACTTTCCTGACTGGGCTAGCTTCCAACCACAATTCTTAGATCTCAGCATCCTGATCAGTTAGGATTATAGGCCTGAACCACTGGCACCAGCTATTAGTTTTTTTAGGAGCCTCCCCACTGATTTCCATAGTCATAGTGGCAATACTTATTTACATTCTCAACAACAAGTTCTTTTTTCCCTCTATATCTTTTTTTTTGTCGGTCCTGGGGCTTGAACTCTGGGCTTGGGCGCTGTCCCTGTGCTCTTCAGCTCAAGGCGAGCGCTCTACCGCTTGAGCCACAGCGCCACTTCTGGTTTTCTAGTGGTTTATTGGAGATAAGAGTCTCACGGACTTTCCTGCCCAGGCTGGCTTTGAACTGTGATCCTCAGATCTTAGCCTCCTGAATAGTTAGAATTACAGGCATGAACCACCAGCTCCCGGCTTCCCCCATATCTTAACCAGCATTTGTTTACTTAATGATGGCCATTCTGTCTAGGATGATATGGAATCCCAATGTCATTTTGATTTGCATTTCCTTTATAGCTGAGAATGCCAAATATTTCTTTGTTTTGAGTATTTTTTATTTTCTTTAAATATCTCAAATATTTCTAAATGTATCTATTAGCCATTGGTACTTTGCTTTTGAGAAGCGTCCAATTCATTTTTTAGTAATAGGATTATTCTTTTGATGTTTAATTTTTGAGCTTTTTTTTTTTAGTGTGGATACTAACCCCTTATATGAATATCAGCATGTATAAGAAGGAAACTACATCCCTATATCTCACCCTGTATAAAAAGTAATTTAAACCGGGCACTGGTGGCTCACGCCTGTAATCCTAGCTACTCAGGAGGCTGAGATCTGAGGATCGCGGTTCAAAGCCAGCCCGGGCAGGAGAGACCGTGAGACTCCTATCTCCAATAAACCACCAGAAAACCGGAAGTGACGCTGTAGCTCAAGTGGTAGTGCGCTTGCCTTGAGCTGAAGAGCTGAGGGACAGGGCCCAGGCCCAGAGTTCAAGCCCCACGACCGAAAAAAAAAAAGAAAAAAAAAGTAATTTAGAAATGTACTCGTTATCTTTCCCATGTTATTGTAACCCCTCTGTATGGTATTTTCACAATTTTAAAAAAAGTAATTCAACATGGATGAAAGATCTAAATGTAAGATCTGAAACACACTACTGGAAAGAAACATAGGAAAAACTCTAGAAGGTATAAGCATAAGCAACAACTTTCTGAGTATACTACAACAGCTCAGGAAATAGAACAAAAGTTGACAAATTAAAATAGCATCAAATTAAAAGCTATTTCTGCACAACAAAGGGAATACCTTTCAGAAGTTTCTAAGCGACTTCAGAATACAACTACGAACTAAGTGATGCAAATGAACACTAGGTGGCGACATTGCAAAGGGAGTCAAGCAGCAGAGGCCAAGTGTCTAAATCAATTTTTCTGTCCTGTGACTGAAAGTTGTATCTTTTCGTATTTATTTCTTTTTCCTTTGTTCCACTGGTATTCAAGCATGCCCATTCCTGCTCAAGGCTGTTTGGAGAACAGTCAGTACTGGACCTGCTTTGCTATTACACACAGAAGAGGTAATGATAATTCACAATGTTCCCAGTTCTTCAGATGCTGGGATTCTAACTCCCATTGTTGGTTGTTTCTTATGCTCTGCCTCAGTGGAGTGGACTGTAAGGGGTAAAGAGAGAAACACAACATTTTTGGGACATCCAGTACTATAATCACAGATTTTCTGTCTCTTTCTTTCTTTCTCCTCTCTCTCTCTTTCTTTCTTTCTTTTCTTTTCTTTTTGTCGGTCATGGGGCTTGAACTCTGGGCCTGAGCACTGTCCCTGAGCTCTTTAGCTCAAGGCTTGCACTCTACTACATAAGCCACAGTGCCACTTCCTGTTTTCTAGTGGTTAATTGGCGATAAGAGTCTCACAGACTTTCCTGCCTGGGCTGGCTTTGAACTGTGATCCAAAGATTTCAGCCTCCTGAGTAGCTAGGATTACAGGTGTGATCCACCAGCACCCAGCTTATAATTATACATTTTCTATAATCACTTTAATTGCTATATAAACTTTGAGAGATGAAAATTACCATTTGTTTTACCCAACATCCTGGCTCAGTAGTTATTAATATCATTGGTAATTATTTCTGGTATACACCCAACACTACCACAGAATTTTCAGATAATTCCAATATAATATTTCATTTGTAATTTCCTTTTTTCACTCAAGTCTGACATTCTACCACTTGAGCCACACTTCCAGTTCTATAAACTGTAATTTCAACATAGTTTATATATCATAATGACAGATAACCTCCCTCCCCACAGTTCTGTCAGACCTAGTATAGAGAATGGAAAGTAGGGTATAAATTGACATGCTCTTTAACAGTTTGAACCATCAGGGGTTAGTGACACATTGTATTCATGGGAGAGTAAGGCTAAAGGAGACTCTCAAATTTCTGCTTTAGACATCTAGATGGACACTAAGTACAGTATAGAAAACACAAGAAAGAGGTCGTGTTTGAGGAAGGAGATGAAATAGCTATATTTGAAGTATCTGTGAGCATTTAGGCAGAGTGCATAGGAATCTGGAGGACTGGAAGCAACTCTAGGTGGTGTTGCACACTGACGAATGCCTAGTAGATAAGTGATACAAGTCATAAGTGTGGATCATTCAATCGCATAGCAATTGCTGTATAAGAAGAGTATGGATAACAAATTCCAGTAGTAAAAGTAAAAGTAAAAAGAGAGTATAAGAAATGTGTCACTTTAGTAGACTGAGACACAGCCGGGCAGGTAAAAGAAAAAATAGGTGAAGGTGGTATGCATCTGTCAGGAAGAGTTAGTAGTCAATTGGGTCCAGTGCTGAAAAATCCAGTGCAGGAAACACTGAAAGTATTCATTGTATCTAACAACAGACAGTGGTAGCTTTACCTCACAGTTTGTAGTTTCAATGGAGTGCCAAGAAGTGTGACCAGATTGCAGTTTACAGTTTAAGGGGTGCATGGAAGTGGTGGGCTGTAACACATGGCTTCTATTAACCATCCAATAACCGTGCCCCTGTGTACTCTTCTACTCTTGAATCTGGTGGACCTTAAATGAATGCAAAAAAAAGTGATGCTGTTTGACTTCCAAGGGTGGATTATTTCTTTTTTAAAAGCTGTGCAACTTTTACCATGGTCTTTTGTAGCCCTCAACAATCACATAAAGAATCTGACCATGGTGTTGGAGGCATAGCTCAGTTGGTAGAATGTTAGTCAATGAGCAAAAGTGGCAGGTACTGGGTTTGAGTCCCGGTCTCAGACCTAAAAAGAAATCTGACCACCTTGCTAATGAGACCAAGTGGACGAGTCTCAACAAGACATGGAAAGAGTGCAGCCCAGTTAGGCTCAGATTTCTGGATATCCCTTCCAAGTTGGCAGGCTTATAAATGAAGCCATTTTGGACCCTCTAGACCAACCTAACCAGTCAGCTGGATACCATAGAGTAGCCCTAGTAAATACCACATGAATAAGAAAAATGGTACGGTCAGACTTGCCTAGATTCCTTACACACACAATCATAAGATAATCAAATGACTGCTTTCAGTCCCAATTTGGGGGATGATTTATTCTACAAGAATGTATAACTAGCATTCAGAGTTAAAGCAGTGAGACTACCAGTGCATGTTATACTTACAATAATCTTGGAAAGGGAAGGATGTGATGACAGCTGGAGGCACACATGCACTGAGGGGAGAAATTTTGTGAAGATAGTAGAGACTTGGGAATGTGTATATGCTGATGGGGAAGTTCTAGGAAAAAGAAAAAGATGCAGAAAAAAGGAGGAGATAACTAATGCATGTGATTTCTGAGAAGGGAAATAATGAACTTCAAACAGAAACACTGATCTATGGAACAAGGGTAGTAGGACACTGCAGCTTCTGCAATAGAGGGTCTTTCCTCCTCTGTTTTTGTTTTGTTTTCTCTTTTGTCTGTCTGGGGCTTGAATTCTGGGCCTGGGCACTGTCCCTCAGCTCTTCAGGTCAAGGTTAGCACTCTACCACTTGAACCACAGTGCCACTTACAGTTTTCTGAGTGGTTTATTAGAGGTAAGAGTCTCATGGACTTTCCTTCCTCGAGCTGGCTTTGAACCATGATCCTCAGATCTCAGACTAATGAGTAGCTAGGATTACAGACTTGACCAACCGGCAACTGGATTATCTTTCCTCCTCTGGATCTTTAAAAATATCAAGCTTTCAGCCTTAAGCTGGTGGTTCATGCCTGTAATCCTAGCTACTCAGGAAGCTGAAATCTGAAGATCACTGTTCAAAGGCTGCTCAGGCAGAAAAGTCTGTGAGACACTGATCTCCAATAAACCTCTAGAAAACCGGAAGTGGTGCTGTGGCTCAAGTGATAGAGTGCTTGCCTTGAGCTGAAGAGCACAGGGACAGCGCCCAAGCCCAGAGTTCAAGCCCCACAACCGACCAAAAAATATACATACATACATACATACATATATATATATATATATATATATATATATATATATATATCACGCTTTCTCACATATTAGAGTCAAGGGACTCTATGAAGGTTAATTTGGAAGTAATGGATCTCTCCAGAACGGTTGATTGGCTGTCTAAATTAGTGAATGAACTCAGGCCAGAAAACAATTGGAATCTACATCCTGAGGCTAGAATCCAAGTTGTTTTCTGCTGAATCTATGCATGCACATTAAAGCCAATCTTTGACAGAATGAGCTTGTTTGGCTGGGTTCAGTTGTCTTGAAAAATAAGATAGGGTTTATTTCTACTGCTTCTGGGACAATTACTGAGTTCTTTCCTAGGGAAAGTGCTGTTGATATTATAACCCTACCTCTTGCTGTTCCCCTGTCAGCAGGGATTAAGTACTGGGTTGGATTGGTGGTGGATGGCTGTTTGTACCATAAAGTCCCTTTGCCTTCACTTTTGACAGCTACAGCCTTTCATATACTGGTAAGGAAAGGCTGCATCTCAGAAAAGTGGAATAGCAAGAATAGATCGTTTTTAAAGCTTTCTATTATGAAAAATTAGAAATACACAAAAATGAGAAAGACTATTATTAGGCACCTTCATATTGCCCAGCTTCAATAATTAGCAATTTCTGCTCATTATTTTATTTTATTTTTTATTTTTTGGGGGGGTCCGGTCGTGGGGCCTGTACTCTTGGCCTGGGTGGTGTCCCTCAGCTCTTCAGCTCAAGGCTAGTGCTCTACCACTTGAGCCACAGTGCCACTTCCAGCTTTTTTCTTTTTGCTTATGTGGTGCTGAGGAATCGAACCCAGGGCCTCATGCATGTTGCTGAGGAATCGAACCCAGGGCCTCATGCATGCAAGGCAAGCACTCTACCACTGAGCCACCTTCCTAGCCCAGTACTAATTATTTTAAAAAGTACATGGGGAAAGGGAGGGATAGTGGGAGAGAAACGAAGGAGTGGGTAACAATGTTGGACAAGAAATATATTACCTTATGTAACTGTAATCCCTCTGCACATCACGTTTACAACAAAAAATAAAATTTTAAAATGCAATATGTACATGTATGTATGTGTGTGTTGTTATATAGAGAGATAGAGATATAGTTGATCTTCATTATTGACAGATTTCAGATCTGCAAATTTGCCTGCTTGAAAAAATTTATGTGTTACCTCACCATCTGTACTTGAAGTACTTTCATGGTCATTCATGGATCTGCAGAATGACAAAAAATTAGTTCCCAGGCACTCAGTGTTCCCAGTGCTGAGGTTGGATAGGGGACACACTGCCTTTGTTGTTATAGCTCTTTATGCTATAAATGTCCTTTTCATGGTCTATTTAATACCACATTTTGTACCTTTTGTTGGTGATTCTACTGTTTCAGTGATCTCTAATTATAGTTCTAAAGTGTTTTCTAGTGCTCTAAATACCAGAAGGCTATGATGTGCTTTCTTTGGAAGAATTATATGCATTCCAGCATGAGTTATAATGTTGTTGGCTATGAGTTCAGTGTTAATGAATCAATACTGTGGTATATCCAGAAAAAAGAAGAGTAAATTTGCCAGTCTCTATGTGAGGATGCTCTGAAAAGTGCTAAAATAATATCTTTATTGAGTGATATAGCTGCTAAATTTGTGGCTTTGTGAGATGATGATTGATTGGAAAACACTGAGTAGACAGCATTGTTACCAGACTGAAAAATCAAGATTTTCAGTAAAACCCTGTGTTACTCATGCTAAGGAAAATGTCAAACCCTTCTTGCCTGGTCTTCTGTTATGAATATTGCATATAATTTCTCATTTTAAGAAATATATGCTAAACAAGACATCTCTAACATACACACTGTTATGTATTGACTGTTTTAAGGAAATGAGATCAGAGGCTTACAGGAACCCTACTTTTCCACTAAGAGCTGTAGAATATTTGCACTTACATTTTTTCTCTGTGATTGGAAGCTTTTTATTTCTAAGTCAGTGTGCTATACCAACCAATTTTAATGTTGTTTTGATTTGCTTTTTTTGAGACAAGTTCTATGTATGTATACCAGACAGGTGTCAGACTTGAAATCCTCCTGCCTCAGCCTTCCAAC